CTTGGGGCCACCTCGTCACGGGGTGGCGTGGGGTGGCCTCTCTGCGCCCCCGGAGGGCGGCGGATGGGTGGGGGTGTCGCCTGAAAAGTGGGTTCGTCCCGCCGTGCAATAACCCGATCTTCATGCGCTCAGGAGAGACGCTGTGTTTATTCAGGGCTGGGTGCTCAGCGGGCATTTCCACAAATCAGCCGCCCCAACTGCAAGTTTTCGTGCTCCCTTTATGCACAAAAATCGGGGGTTAGTACCTGTCCAAACATGCCTGTTAGATATTGGTGGGTTAGAGATTAACCTACGATTAGAATACAGTTTAGATAATACTTCTACTACTACGCGTGCTCAGGGGAAGGGCCTTAACCTGGGCAGGGGTTTTTTCAACCTGTGAGTGTGTTCTCAGTATTCTAATGAAGGTCGTTCTATTTCAGGACACTCAGAAGTTAGTTTCATTACTAAATTAATTAATCAAAGAGTTGCTTTGTCAGGTTATCAAATAACTCATCCTCAATGCAATCCCAGATATTCTCTTTATGGTCCAGGATGTTCTGCTTATTTTCTAGGGTTTGGAGATCAAAGCTTGTTCTTGATGAACTTCTTATCACTCAAAGTCTTGCTCGACCAAGCTTCAAAACCTTGTGACTGACCCCATATTGGACAGGGAAGGGATCTTACCCCTGGACTCGGCACTGGTGAGGCCGCACCTTGATTACTGTGTTCAGTTTTGGGCCCCTCACCCCAAAAAGGCCATTGAATGACTCGAGCGTGTCCAGAGAAGGGCAACGGAGCTGGTGCAGGGTCTGGAGCACAGGTCTGATGGGGAGCGGCTGAGGGAACTGGGGGGGTTTAGTCTGGAGAAGAGGAGGCTGAGGGGAGACCTCCTGGCCCTCTACAACTCCCTGAAAGGAGGGTGCAGAGAGGGGGGATGAGTCTCTTGAGCCAAGAACAAGCAATAGGACAAGAGGGAATGGCCTCAAGCTGCACCAGGGCAGGGTCAGACTGGCTCTGAGGAAGTATTTCTTTGCAGAAGGGATTGTTGGGCCTTGGAATGGGCTGCCCAGGGCAGGGGGAGAGTCCCCATCCCTGGAGGGGTTGAAGAGTCGGGTTGACCCAGCGCTGAGGGATCTGGTGGAGTTGGGAACGGTCAGTGTGAGGTTAATGGTTGGACTGGAGGATCTTCAAGGTCTTTTCCAAACAAGGTGGTTCTGTGACCGAGATGATCTCATGTTGTGCTGTCCCGCTTTGGAGAAGGCACAGCTCCCAAGGCAAAATGGTGAAATTTTCTGCTACCCTCTCCATCTCAAGGGACATTTACTGTGTGTACACGCAAAGGTGCCCTTAGGAGGAGATAAGTGGAAGTTCTGTCACTCTGCCTGCTGTGGTTGCTACTTCCTGGTGATCGACCTGTGCACTAGCCTGTTGTGGCTATGTATCTTATGGGCATTTTCAGCATTTCTGTGAGGCTGGGAGCCTGGTGCTTTGCATTGTGCCTGGTGTTGCAGGGCTTAGATCTGTTGGAATACAGGAAAATTTTAAGAAGTGACAGCAGAGGAGAGCTGTGTACCTCGGATAGGATCATGTCAGTAAGGCAGGAAGAAGAAGTGACTGCAAGACAGGTAGGAGCTGAAGAGGAGGTGGTTTCAGTGGCCAGTGAGGAGGGCAGAGGACAGGCAGAACCATGAAAGAAGAGTGATAGGAAGCCCGAATGGCCTTCTGAAGCAAGGAGGTGGCAGGCAGGGTCAGAGAAACACCCAGTAATAGTAGCCAGGGAAACCTCTTAGTCTGGGTTAATCAGCAGCTCAGCCCATTCCCTCCATGTTTGCTGCTCCTTTCCACTTGATTAACAGATTCTTTCACCAGAAAGAGTAGAGGCATATTCCTCACTGTCCTGCACCCCTGCAGATACTGGTGCCTCTGGCAAAATGGCTTAGACTCTTAGTTACCTTTCCACTCGGGGCTGTAATTTTCAGCATACCATTCTGATTAGCTAATGCCTCATGCCCCCTGCAAGCTGCTGAAGGGTGATAAACTGAGACCTTGAATAGCAGTCTGCTGCACTGACAGAAATAACTGCAGAAGGTATAAAGCAGTAGGAAATCTGTTGTGATGACCTGTTCCCTACATTATTTACAGATATAATTTTTTCACCCCATTAGCGTCTCTGCAGATTTGCACCTGTTTTGATAGATGGGCATAGCAGAACACGGGCCAAGGAAACCCATTTTGAAATGATTTTCTGGTGTGTAGGGAAGTCTTAAGGATCTGGGTGCCACTGTTGTGCTCCTTGGAATAAGTGAGAGAGGTCTTAGGCTGAAGTCAGGGAAGTGTGAATTTGAAGAGTGTTACGCAGATAACACCAGAAGGCTTTGAAAATGTGCTGGACCCAAGGAGGTTAGTGGGAAGTGAAAGGGAGTAGTGTAAGGGCAGTATGCTGCCCTGTGATGAGGTTGCTTTGTGTTGCCAGAGCAACTCTATAGAGCTTGGTCCTTGGAGGATTACTTTGCTTATGGCTTAGAGATCCCATTGTAACTGCCAGAAGTCATTAGTGCAGGAGGAAAGGAGAGAGAGGAGGCTTTTACATCCTGCTCAATGAGTAGCTCCTAGTGTCCAAAATAACATAAATTGGAAATATTCTAGTGCTGCCCTGTGACATGGTGGACATCTGGGTCATAACAGGTTCTTTGTGTCCCATCCTTGGTATCCTTTGAGCAGGACCTACCCTGGCGGCCAGAAGGAAATGGAGTTTGACTTTTGGAATATTAAATGTTTTACTACAGACTCTCACCTGGCAGTGACCTGAACTAGATTTTTCCCCAAAGGGTATTAGAGCTCATTTGCCTCAGCAAATTTAAAGCCGGTGAAAATCACTGGGCTGATGGCTGAGGGTCCTGGCACCTCCTGTTCCTCTCCAGAAGCGACTGTTGGTGAGCGATTCTGTTTTGAGAGACCTCCTGCTAGCTCTCATTCTGCAGGGCTCGCTGCCTTCCCGCTGCTTTTATCACAGTGGGCTCTGGGGGTAATTGCAACTATCCCACTTCTAGCCAGGCTCCGTGAAGGGGCTGCTGGCAGCCTGACAGCCTGTTCCCTGCTCTGTGTGTGGCCATGGTGGGGCACACGGCTCTTGTGTCTGAAAATAGTGCTGACCACATGCAGGGAGCCTGAGAGCAGCCTCTAATGTCCTCTTTTGTGTGGAGCCTTGTCCTCAGGAGGCTGCAAGTCCGGAGTGGATTTCCATGGGGACAGGAGTGGTGCGCACTGTGCCTTGCAGTCTGTACAGACTGGCATTTGCAAGGGGTCTCGGATGGTTGCATTTCATATCCAACATGCATAAAGTGACATGTGGTTGCTCCCTTCTAGGAGACAGAAGAAGACAGCCTCTCATGCTGTGGTGGAGCTGGAGAACACCAAGGATTGCAGCCAGGCCGGGAAGCCTCTCTTCTGCCCTTCCCATCCCACAGAGGAGCTCAGGCTGTTCTGCGAGCAGTGTGACCAGCCCGTGTGCCAAGACTGTGTTGCAGACAGGCACCGGCAGCATCCATATGACTTCACCAGCAATGTCATCCACAGGCATGGGGATGCCCTGCGGGAGCTGCTAAAAGACACCCAGCAGCACATGGGCATCTTGGAGGATGTGCTGGGCCAGATTGATGATGTGGGCAGTGCTGTCCGCAGTCACGCAGAGGATGTGGCTGCAGAGATCTGTCTCTTTGCCAGTGGGTATGTGAAAGCGATTGAAGAGCACCGGGACCGGCTGCTGAAGCAGCTGGAGGACTTGAAGGTGCAGAAGGAAAACCTGCTGCACTTGCAGAAGGCCCAGGTACAGCAGCTGCTGCTGGACATGAGGACAGAGGTGGAGTTCACGGAGCACTTGCTGACGAGTGGCTCGGACCTGGAGATCCTCATCACCAAAGGGGTGGTGGCGAGCCGGCTGGCAAAGCTCAACAGTGTTGCTTACAACACCCACCCCAGCGTGGACGATGGGATCCAGTTCTCTCCCCAGGAGAGGGCAGGGGAGTGTTGTGGCTATGAAGTTTTTGGGGCCATTCTCAATAAAGTGGTTGATCCAGCCAGATGCACCCTGCACGGGGAAGGTAATGTGGTGCCGTACAACAGCTGAATGGGAACGCGCTGCTCCCTGCAGTCACCTCTCGGTTCTCTGTACTCACATGCGGAAGGCACTGTTGGGTCCCTGCTGTCCAGGCATCGACTAGGGGCAGAGGTAGAGCCCTGTCAGAGGTTGCATTGCTTGCTGAGGGCTTACAGGAGCTGTGCTGGGCAGGGACCTGGAGACCTCTCCCCATCCAGATGGACCAAGAGTGCCAGAACTGCCCTCTGCAGCACAGGGCTGAGGGGCGAGAACAACCTTTAGGCCAAAGACCACAGCTTGCTCTGGGGATGGGAATGGCTTCTGCTGTAGCAGGATGTGGCCCAGGCAGATCCCTTCTGTGGTCGAGTGAGCAGGTTCATTTCCCTTACAGCTCCTGCTGAGATTGCTGTGGGAATAACTGACATTGATGGTTTCATGGATATTTGCTTACTAAGGACTTGGAGCTGGGCCAGCAAATAGATAATATTCAGACCAGCCCACAAAGCGCGGCCACCTCTGGTCAGTAATGGCCTGCACAGGGCAGATGAGACAGACCCAGGGCCCATCAGCTCCTTTCCATGCCAAACTGTAAGTGCTGACATCTCTGAGGCTCCACCTGCGCAGCAGGGCTGCTCCTCCTCCCTCCTGGTTGCATGGTACACCTTGAGGCTGCCAGGGAAGGTGCCAGCTGGGCGGAGAGGGGCAGGCAGGAAGGCCACCCTAGTCTATACAGACCTCTGCGAGCCTGCTCAACATCTCCTCAGTGCTTTCTCTTGGTCCCCAGAGATAACTTTTACCTGTTGGTGGAGGGAGCTGTATACCCACCCCAGCAGCAGAGTCTGGCTTGTGCTTTGGTGGGACTGCAACACTGTAAAATAGGTGAGAGGTAGCAATCGTGGTGGATGTCAATCCTTTCTGATCCTTTTTCTCTGCCTTACAGATCTTCAGAGCGCCCGTCAGAACCAACTGACTGGCTTTACCCTGCTCTGCAATGACACCACGGGGGAGCGGATGCGGCAAGGAGGGGAGGCCGTGCGGGTCACCATCACCCACGAGGACAAGAAGGACTGGTGAGTAGTTCACCTGAGAACTCCCTGGTCACTGGGTTTGCCTTTCTGCCTCCCTCACCCTGGCTCCCTCCTCCTGTGGGCAAGTGGGAGGATGTAGGTCAGAATCTGTAGGGGAAAAGGCATTACTCTTCTGCAGTGCTTCCTACTGGTTGTGGAGCTTGACAGTGTTGGATCATATTTGTATTGAGTCTTTGAGTGATTTGGGACTTCTGAAAGGATTGAACTCTCAGCGGGTGTTAGATATTGTCAGAACAAACTGCTGCTGCTTCCTACCCCTACCAGTAGACAGCCAGGGCTCCTCCTTCTCTTAACACCTAATGAGCATAAAACCTAGCAACTACAGAGTGACTGTCCCAGGTCAGGCAGACAGTGCTCCAAGCTCAGGAGCCCCTGACAGTTGATGGAAATACCTAGTGCATGTTCTGGAGAAAGAATCTGCGTTGGCACTTCATCGTGCTTTATCCTGTAGTTGCAGGTGTTGAGCACTTTAACATGTTTGGAGGTTTGCTAGCAAAGGCAGGGAAGACCACACTTGAGCTACTAAGTGTTTCCACAATGAAAATGACCAACCAGAAAAAATTATTTTGTAACTGTTTCCAGGCTACACTTGGTACTATAAAGCAGCCAGGCGCAAATGCAGAACCAACTGGGGGTCAGTTCTTAAGAAAAAATTATGTTTTACGCTATAGAGGAAGATGCCAGCGTAACTTGTTCCAGGAATGCTGTTGGTGGGATGACCCGAAGAAAAAAGGGACAAGATACTAAAACTCCTTGATATGGGGGAACATTGACAAGGCCTACAGAAGAAGCTTGTCAGTAGAGCCTCAGTGTTCAAGAATGTTGTTCCAATGTACCTTCCTTCCTTGGGTGTGCATATGCTGTAGGGAGGTGGGCACATGAGGGTCACGTGGATGTTGCTTGGTGGGCTAGAGGTTGCTGTGACCACATTCACTTAATTTCTTGTTCTTGCATGTGGGTAATTGCTACATCCGTTGCTGAAAGCTGTCTGGCTTTGGGTTGAGGCACAGCAGCTACAGAAGAGCGTGAAGTATCACCACATAGTTCACGGCAGGAAATGATGTGAAATGGTGGGGGGTGGGGAATACAGCCTACAAATTTGGAAGATTATAAACTGTCATGTTGTGGGGCACAAGAGACTAAGTAGTGGGCATTAGGAAGACTATCTTCCTCTATGCAGAGCTGCCTGATAATTGTCAGTGGAAAGCTCTTTCCATCTTTCTGTGAAGCACGCAGTCAGTCTCTGAGTAACTAGCTAATGCTTTCTCCCTGGTGCTCTGTCCAACAGGATTCCTTGTGAAACCCAATGAGCTTCACTTTAGAAAGGGGGAGTTCACCAGCAGTGACCCGGAACTCCTCAGAGCACTGAAGAGAACAGTTGGGGTCAGTGCGTTTGGGACAGTGGTTGAAGGGATTCAAACCTGCCCCATTTAGGTCCTGTCTTCTTCATGGGCTCTTCTGGAGGTAACTGCTCTCTGAAGCTGTGAATTTACCCCATTTCTGAGGGCTCTTATCTGATGGGATAATCTGACCTGCAAGTGTGCTGTCTGTTGTCTTCTGCTCTTTCAGTGCTCAGGGTTGCTACAAATCCTTGCAGTGCAGCTAGCTCTGTGTGACTTCCTTTGTATGGTTACTGCAGCTCCCGGTAGCAGGTGTGTGTGAAAGCTACTCAGTGCTTGAGCATTGCTCATGCATCCTGTTAGGCTCACTTGAGACTCATGGCTGCTGAACAAGGCTGAGGATAAGGAGCTGACCACAAATCTAGGCCAAACAGTAGTTCACATGTAGAGCAATTTTCTGCCAGTCACTGACTTCTTGGACTTCTCTCTGTTCATAGTGCAGTTGAGCCCACAGTGTGTGATAATGGTGATGGGACCTACCATATTTCCTACAGCCCTGAGGAGCCAGGCTTGTATGGTGTCTGCATCTATGTGAAAGGGCAACATGTACAGGTAGCATTTCTTATTTCTCTTGCACTGCTTTTTCTCTACCTGCTTTTCTAAGCACTTGCTTTAAATCTCTCTAAGAATTGCCTCTACCACTTAGCAGTTTAAGGCTGGGCTTAGTGATCTGTGACTGACAGGATCACCCAGCTGGTTTTTGAAAACACAGACACAACATCTGATAGCATCCACTGCTGCAGCCTCTCTGCTTGCTTGTCCTCTGCAGGGCTCTCCATTCACTCTGATGGTGAAAAACAAGTTCCGTGAGCACCGAGGCGTGTTTCACTGCTGCACGTTCTGCTCAAGCGGAGGGCAGAAAGCTGCTCGCTGTGCCTGTGGTGGGACCATGCCAGGTGGGTGCTCAGCTTTCTCCATGCTGCTGGTGCCAGGAAGGTTTGTTGCATTTGGTTTTCCCTAGTGTAGACAGGCGTGAGTGGACACTCCAGCCCAACTCCTGCCTTGCACATGCACCAGGCCTGAGATAACCTGTGTGTAGATATCTTATGGTAGGATTGGACTGCAGAAGTGAGAAATGCAGCAGGACACGCTAAGGGACTTTGCAGCACACCCCGTAGACAGAGACCTGACCTAACTCTACAGGAAATGGGGCTGGGCAGCTCTATGTTTCAGCCCTTCTTAGTGAGGCTAAGCAGCACTTCATTTATACTGTTCCTGTTCCTGTGGAGAAGCCTCATTCCTTATTTAGGATGAGAGTTCAACTCCCTTATTTGTTTAATCCCAACCAGTTTCCCTGTCCTTGACCTGCATGTGTCATTGTATATTTTGCATATTTTACTATAGAATCAGCCTCTTCCTTTTTCTGTGCTTGATCTGTATCTCACTCTGGCCATAGCCACCAGTGGTTCTGCAGGTCTTGCATTGCTCAACAGGCAAGGGGATGGAAATCTTCAGCTTTCCCCAGTGAGTGGAACAGGGAGGTCCCGGTTGGTGGTTCTCCTTTCTTTATCAAGCCCTGGCAATTTTGGCCTTGAATAAGCTGTGTTCTCATCAGCATGTGCCTCCCTGACTTGGACAAGTCCTGAGGCTGAAGAGCTCTCTGAAAGCCTTGGACACACTGGGATTTTCTGGCCCACTTTTGGTTCAGCTGATGGTGCCTCTTCTCTTGCAGGTGGGTACCAAGGCTGTGGCCATGGACACAAAGGTCACCCTGGCAGCCCTCACTGGTCGTGCTGTGGACAAGTGAAAGAGAGCTCAGAGTGTTTGGGTGGGCCACCCAGCGGCACCCCGCAGAGGAGTTTGCTCAGGACAGTGGTGCTCTGAGCAGCCAGGTGAGTTCCTGTGAGCCCAAGGCACTGCTGCTGGCTGCTGCACAAGTGCAAACCACGAGGATCCCCACCATCACTGCATAAAACCATCGTGATGGGTGTCAGCTGAGAAAGGGGGGTGAGGGAAAATAAAACTGTGCCTTATATTCCACCTGCGAGCGTGTATACAAGGTTGTTTTGTGCCTGAACAGGAGCAAACTCTGGGAATTGTGCTGCTGCCAACACTTTTGAGGAACTGAAGCCTGTGGGGTCAGGCTCTAAGAGGAAACTCAATCTGAGCAGTTACCTCACAGAAGGGTCAAGATGTCTCATTCTGCAGGATTGATAGTCTCAGCTGTCCTTCTTGAAGAGGCTAAGGCTGCTCGTTGGGTCACATTCTACAGGGTTTGCATTCATGCCTTGGAAAGGCTTGGCAGCCTGAATATGGCTTCTGCCTCCCTGTTAAATACGCGGCTGGATTCCAGCCTTGGATGTGCACATATAGCACAGTCACGCTCTTGGAAGCTGAGGTTGTGTTTGCAGGTCTTATATTTTCTCCGAGTAAGCTGTGGTCTCATTACACCCTCCCTGCAAAGTAGGAGCAAGGTGGGTTAGTGATATAGCTGAAGGAAATCCAAGGAAAACCCATGGCACTGATGGGAACAGGATTTCGAATGTCATTCACCCACTCTGTGCGTTCTCCATGGAGATGGTGTGGGATACCATGTGTGGGAGCCAGGAGAGCACCCAGCTCACCAAAGAAAGATCTGGGGACAGTTTGAGCATTGGTAGGAACCACAAGCGCAAGTTTGCAGGGGTCTGTCCTGAACCAGGCAACTAGACAAGAGCAGCAGGAGGAGATGGAATCCAGCAAAGCTCCTGGATTTGGCTTTGGCAGTCTTGGCAAGGCTCTGTTTTCAGAAGGAGAGCTTGTCCTATTTTCCATAGGGGAGGGGGGATATATCTCCTGGGCTTATATGGGTGCTGCCAACCTATAGTTGGGGAAGTGGCATTTGTGATGAGGAAGAAGAGGCACTTTCCTGAAAGGGCAACTGCTAACCTGCCTCTTGTTGCCTGCTGCTTGCCTAGATGAAGCAGGCACCCTGGCTACCTTCCTTTACAAACACATTCATGTCCTTGAGACTCGGAACGCTACTGCCGTGGGGGTAACCTTGCTGGTAGGTGTGTGTTGCCAGGGGCTCCTTAAACTGCCTGGGGAGCTGGGGACAAAGGTCTGACTGTCACCTGGGGAGCGGAATGCTGCTCCAGTGTCAACAGTAAGGACTGGTCCTTGCTTTCTGGCTAATGAGGGTTGGCTTGTAAATAGTAGAAACCTGTGCTGTCTGTTTGCTTGCTCAGACCTAGAAGACTCTCATTCGTTGTTCATTCCTCTTACAAAGCCAGTTTTGGAACCTCTTCTTCCCAGCAAAGGAGATAGATATCCTTATGCAAATGTTGTTTATAGCTTTCCATTAATCATCCAGAAAGGGCTGTCAAACAAACAGCGGAAGGTTAGGCAGTTTAAATCTCCAAGTTAGGCAATTTAAGTCTCCAAGTTGCTGACTCTGAAATTTCAAAACGAAAGTTTGAGTTAACCTTTAATGGAACAAACAATAACTCATTCTTGTCCTTGCTATGTGCAGAGTCAGTGCTCAGTACAGAATGTGGTGTAAAACAAAATGCCTCGTTTTCTGTGTCTTTCTATTTCTTGGCCCTCACCTCCCATGTGTGGTGTTATTTCTTGGAGCTTCCATGCAGTACTGCAGAGGGAACACATAAGGATGGCACTACCTTCTAGGCACATAATTTGTGTCTAAAAACATCTTAGTGCTCTCAGACAGAGGAATGTGTGTTCTCTTTGTGTTAGACGTCCCTCACACACCCTGTCGCTGACATTTTCCGAGAAGCTGTTTGCAAGAATTACACCAGTGAACATATAAACCCTTCAGGGAACTGTGGTCAGCTTGGACTGAGCTCTACATTTGACATGGGAAGAGCAGTTTTCAGACAGCATGGGGTACTAATCCTGGTAGGGTCAGGCTCTTGCGTTGATTTTTAATTTCTGTTAGACTTGAAGGCTCAGTCAATCCCAGGGAATATAAAGTACTGACTGGATACCACTCTGTGTTTGGGCAGAGAGGGCTGTGCATGAGGATAGCTTGAAGAATCATGCAGAAAAGACATTTCATGACCTTAATCACTTTGTGGGGTTAGGTGTGAGTGTCCTCCCATTATTTACAAGCAGACTTTGCCCTCGGTGTTCATTACTCAGAATGCTTTGCCAGATGAATATCCTAGTGATCTGCTGGAGTCTCACGTTGGGCTCCAACAGCCGTTCCCAGGAATGGCTTCCAGTCCTCTGTTGGTAAAAAGCTTTGGGCAGGGGGTGGGTGAGGAGGTGTAGTTAGTCTGCTGGGCTACATGATGTTATTTCTGACCAGCTAGTCCTTGAAATAACAAATGTATTTTCAAGACAGACAGACATGCAGTACTGACAGAACTTCACCAGTAAATATCTATATTTTTCGTAGGACAAAAGCTTTTGCTGATAAAATTGCCTGTCTCCAAAGTCTGAAACAAACAAAAAAAAGATTAACTAGGGCTGAGCATGAGGAGGGGCTTTGGGAGACAGGAGAAGGAGGACTTACTGTCTAGATAGAGAAAACAGTGTAGCTGGAAGTAAAAGCACAGCAAGAACAAAAGACTGTGGAAGACGTGGAAGGGGCTCTGCAACCTGTACGACTCCATGTAGGGTGCCCCTGGAGTTGGGTATCATGCTATGGTTCCTCTCCCTTCTCAGAGGAGGCAAACCACACCGGTGACATGGCTGTGCTTGCAGCTCTGGGCATCTGGTTTGTCTCCAGAAGACTGCAGGAAGAGTGCAGAACCTGGCTCAGCAGGGCTCCTTGGCCTTCCCATGGCAGGAGGTAATTCACAAGGGTGCCCTGACTATCTGGAGTGCCAGTTCAAGACAGATCCTGGCAGTGGCTCCCAGGCAGGGTAGAGGACTCTCTGTATTTCCAGCCAAGGTTGGCTCACCTTCTGCCTGTTTTGAGAGATGAGGACTTGTTCTGAGCACTGCTGCTTCTAGCTGCCCTTCAAAGGCAGGCAAGGCTTGAGGACAGGTAGAGCTGATAAGGCAGTGCCAAGCTCTCCTCCTTCCAGACCACTACTGTTCCCACTTTGGTGCTTCTCAATCACCTCTTGACATCATTGTTACAGATGTGGGATCACAAGGCTGGAAAGTTGTCCAACGTTTTTGGCCAAATTCCAATGTCAACTTTCGTATTTTTCAGCCTGCTGGCTGTCTTCACCTCTTGAGTGCTCTGTCAGACTTGGCTGCTTGTCAGCTTGCCACAACTCCCATCTTCTCCTGGTTCGTCTCCTTCATGATGGCTCCCCCAGCATTCCAGTGACATTGAAATAGGGCATGAACTTCCTGTAAGTAAGGGAACGCTTCTGACAGAATTATTACTTGTGAAGAAAGAAACAAGTTGTATCATGAAGGACAGAGACTGAAGTCTGGTTCTTGTGCCCGCACCTCCCCCAGACCACGCAACATCTTCTTCGGCCGTGACAGACCTTCAGTCCCTCCTGATCCTACTGTTCCCTCACACAGGCAAGAGGCAGCACGAGCTGTGGCCATCTGTAGGGCGATGACTGGTGGGCCCAGTGAAACTGGTAATGCTTCGTGCCTGCTGTTGCCCTCCCCTCAGTGAAGACAGCTGATGTGTCTCTTCCCGAGGTGCTCACCGGCTTTCAGAGTCCATGTGGGACCAGATCCTGTTTTTTGCTAGTAGATTCAAAACTGGTAAGAGCTGGGCTGACTGTGTGGTCACAGGTCCTTGATTTCTTTGAGAAATATCCTGAATACCTCTGGGATTTTTTTCAGTATAAACATATGGTGAGGAGTAGACTCCAGCATGAGACCTGCTCAGAAATGAATGTGGTGTTGTCTGGGTGAATGGGACTCAGCCTGGTCCTACGGGGGCTACCTGTGTCTGAGAAGTAGACCTGTTTTTCCAACATGGAAGTAACCCGATTGCTGACTGAAAAATGAGGTTTGCTGCGGCTCTGATCCAGAGTTAACTGGTGCTGAAAGAGGACACCTCATTGGCACACTGCACCAAAGGTAGTCATAAATCAGGTGTCAGCAAGGGCAACAGGATATTTCTTAATCCGTGTTTCCCACCAGGCCACTATGGCCTAATGCTATTCTGCTTCTAGTAATGCTCTGCTAAATTACGAGATGTTTAGTAATCAGCAGAATACTGCAAAATAAATCAGAATTCTTTTTTTAATTTCAGATTAAAAAGGGCTATTACATGCTAAAGCAGATGGGAAGTGAAAAGCATATAAAGTCTGCTGTGTAAGTTTAAACCATTGCAACAACAAAAGAGTGACAGTGATTCTCAGGTGAAAGATTTCCACTCCTTGGTTTCATTCAGAGGCCGGAGGATGAAGGATGTGCTTTCAGTAACAGCCAAGATTGGAGTGGTAACAGTAGGTCCTGTTTGCACCTCTGCCACAGGCCTTGCACAGGGTGTTCAGAGAGTTCCTCTACCGGGAGAACAATTATCTTTGCAGTTCACAGCTCACATTGAAGCAGGACATGAACAGCTGGGTAAACCCAATGCCTCGTCGCTCTTGAAAGCAGAGGGTCCCACCCTGGCTCCTCTGTCCTTGCTGCAGGCCGTGTGGTCCTGCCCCACCAGAAGCATCACTAGGTGTGACTCCTCTCTGACTGCATGGGGAGGCAGTTCAACTCCTTAATCTGGTAGAAAACCATTTGCTTTCTAATTTTCCTTTGTTTCCTAACAGGTGACTAGGCTTAGCAGAGGGTCAGATCTGTTCTCTCATCAGTGCAAGGTGGTGGGATGTGGGAGGAGATTCAACACAAGTTGTGTTTTGAAGTTGAACTGCAATTTAAAAGACTATGCGCACACTTCTGAAATCTCACACATGCACAGTTAGAAGGCTACTGTGCCCCTCAGGTAAACCCTCCTGAACCCGGCTAGTTTGGTCATCACTGACCAGTATTAATTGGTCTTGATTTTAGCCTCTGGTTGTTACAGAGAAAGTAATTTGTTTTTTGTTAGGTGTTGGACTGTCCCCAGTTACTCTGGGTATGCTCAGCTCTGCACAGGAAAAATGTTCACTCCCACTAAACATCCAAACTTGCTGGAGATGCCTAGGGACTGTCAAAAATTCCCCTTTTCCTGCCCTCTCTGGGACACAGTCCAGATGTAGGTGACAGGATACACAGGTTTTCCTTTGGGAAACAACATGGTGGTGCAAGCTGCCTTCCTTCTTCTGCTCTGTCACAATCTCTCTGCCCTTCTCAACCTCTTATGCCCAAGAGCTACTCATCCTGCCCCCAGCCTCAAGTGAGACCACAAACAGAGGGAAAGTCTTGCAGGGTTTGTGCCAGTTTCTTTCCTTTATGTGCTCTGATGTCCACCATAATGTTAGACCTGAGAGCAGCAGGAGCTGACCTTGGGGAGGAGAAGTCATTTGGTCTGGAGGAGTTCAGCAGAAGAAAACAGCAATCAGAAAAGAGGCCGCTGCTGAACCTGTGTGGCTCTGTCGGTGATGGGTAAGCTGTGGGTATACATGGGAGACTGCTGCCCCCCAGGATTAGCTGGCTACCAAACCATGAGCTGTGTTATTTTTTTGTTTTAAATCAGATGTGTGTCTTTAATGGATGGTGTAGGAGGTCTCTCCTGTTGCCCCAGTGACTAAGGAGGCTTCCCTGCTTTTGATTGCCCTAGTGGGGGGAGCTGAAGTGTTCAATGCTTCCTCATTCCTCAGAGTTCACTGCTTAGGCTCACCACTCCTTAGCTGAGTTCAGTTATTTAAGCAGGACAGCCTGGGAGAATATATCATGCGAAGGACAGGGACTGTTCTGAACAGTGTGGGACCTTCGGGCACCTGGTGTTTGGCTTGTCTTCATAGATGATGTGACCATGGCATCCCAAGGCCAGGTCATCTTCTGGAGGTATGGTATTACCTGCATCTGCTTTGGGAGCAGGGAGGGAGGGAATTGCATCTCTCAGACTCCTCGGGTGTATCACCCTCTTGCAAAGGAGCTTCAAGACAGCAGTTCTTTGCAGCTTGAATCTATACTGCACTTACCCAAGCTAATTAAATACTAATACAGCTTCTTTTATAAATCAGTAAGGCCGTGTAGCTTCCAGACACCCACGTGCATGTCATTGATTGGAGACATATGTCCTAGAATACATGGCTGGAATATGCTACCTCAGGTTTGAATGCTGTGGTAGGTTGGGGTATCAGTGGCTCGAGAAAGGCTCTGTGTTCCTGCTGTGATAGGTTGGGATATCAGTGGCTTGAAGAAGGCTCTTTGTTCCTTCTGCTGGCCCTCAGACAGTTGCTTGCTTCCATCACAGCAGCGTGCTGTGGGGAGAAAGGCAGAAGCTGTGCTATGGCAATTTCCTCCCTGTGTGGATCAAGGAAGATGTGTAAGCTGGTTTGTGCCTCTAGTTTCAATAAGCCTGTTTCCTTTGGAGCTATTGACCAAGTCCTCATGAACTATAGTCAGAAGAAGTATAGTGGGGAAGGCCTTAAAAATATCTACCTCATATCCTTATCTCCTGATTAGTTGAAAATAACCCCCACCAGATGGGTAAAGTGGCAAACTTGCTTCAGCCTCCAATGAATGGGGACCAAGCTTGCATCTAAACCTGACTGCTTGAACAAAGTCACCAACAAGCTGTGTCTCTTCATCCCATGTGGGGACTTTTCCAGGCTGGCTGGAGGCAGAAGCTCCAACGAGGTGTGTGAGACATCCTTGCTTGCATTTATTATGTCAAAGAGGTTTCAACTGTTACGAGTATCAGTCCCACCTGAGCTGAGCAGCAGTGGGAAGAAGGACAGTCCATGTGTGAATGGAAGAGACCTCTTACACATGAGTCGTGCTCCAGCTTTCTCACATAGAGTGTCAAGGAAGAACTAAACAGTAATATTATCTGCACCTTTCACTGACAAAAGTGAGATTGCTAGTAGACATAATGTAACATGGTGTAAATAGTCACTGGGCATTGTATTCCTCATGCATCTGGAATGCATGTAATAACCAGCTTTGCTATTCTCAAGAGGCAGCCCAGCTGTCTTTTGTCAGGCAAATGCAATAACTGATGTGTGTGAAAAATGTACACCTACCCCTCGCTGTTCTGAGAACCATCCTCTGGCTCTGCCGGCACCCTGACTGCCCCGGGCGGCTGCACACAGCTAGAAGGCAACAGGTTACTGGAAGCAGTGGGTTTCTTCAAGGACATTGGCCTCTTCAGGCTTATCTTGAAATGCAAAAATAGCCCAGAGAGAGAGGTGGATTTTCCAGGAAGCTTCAGAGGAGCAGTGGGCAGTTTCTATTTATTTCGGGGAAAAGAAAAAAATTAAAAAAAAACCCCCAAACCACTAAAAAAACTCTGAGTTGCTGAGGAAAGTTGAGCTCTGCAATCATTAATTGCTCATTGGAATGGAAACCCCTTCATTTTGTGTTGTCTCTGCCATGGTGTTTCTTTTCCACAGTAAGCTTCGACATAAGGAGGAAGGCAGGGGACTTCCCACCTCTTAGTCTTCCAGGTTTTTTGATCCTCACACCTCTAAGCCCATTTCTGAGGGAAGGCTTACTCTGAGCAGAGCTAGAGATCAGGAGGGTTAAGCCTCTGCTACCTGTCACAGTGGGACTGTGAGCCTCTCTCTGTCCCCAGGCTGTGCTCAGCAGCATTCAGGTGGGGAAGGGCTGAATTTCATGCCAAATTCTGTTTGCCTGATCAGGAACGGGACCACGGAAAAGAGGGTAAGATGCACAGAGCGGCATCCTGCAGGCTGCTGAGGCAGTGCCGGGAACCAAGGGTGGCATCAGGGCTGCGATGCCTCAGCTGTCCACATCAGTCTGTTTCCATGCCTCTGAAATGCTGGAAGTACAAGGGGTGCTGATGCACAGAAAATTGCTTCTCACTTGGACTGCTGGACCAGACTGTTGCAAAACACAGCTACCATCAGCATGCGAACGGGTTGCCAACTTCCTCCTGTTCGCTCTGCGCCCCAGAGCTACTAAGTATGCACAGGGGCTTCCAGGCAAATATTTTTAAGGCCCTTGTGATTCTTGGATCTCACAGTTTCTGCAGAGGAAACTTCTGATTTCCCCTTGTTCCTGGCAAGGGCTGTTGATGTGGGGAGTGGCATCTGTGTACCAAAATTGCCATCCCCTCTGTAACAAACAGGCAGCTTTTTCCATCAGCCCTGCTGCTGCCTTAAACCAGGGGTGGGAAGCACCTCTCTGGATGCAAAGCGAGCTAGGCTTTGCATCTACAGGGGCAGATGGCACCAGAGGGGGACAAAAACATTGGTGCTGGCCTGTTTGTGTGTGTTTGTCTGCGAGTGAGCTGAGGATGGTTTTACCCAGCAGAGTGTTAGGGTAGAGGTGTTGTTCAGGCCAGAGGGTACTTCTGAGGATCAAGGCAAGTGTGGTGGCACCTGAAGCATTCAGGGACTGCACAGGAGGGAGTCCTGGCTGCTTGTCCTCTGCCATACCCCCTCCAGCATTTACTGATGAAATCCACTGTAACCTGCAGGCAGCGTCCCTCCGCTCCCAGCCATTTCTTCCCTGCTCACTCTTGGAAAGGAGTATTTTAATCTAGCGGGGTGAAGGCAAGTCACAGCTCCCGTGTGACAGCACAGCACAGCTGCTGCTTGCTCTGTGATCCCAGGTGTGAGAGCTGAGGCTTCTTGTGGCAACCTTAGACGATTTTATAGCAACTATCTTGATCTGGGATCAGCTCCATAGAAATTGGTAGAGCTCCTCAAGGAGGTAGATGTTATTCAGCACATGCAAGAGGCTTCATGTCTGCCCTGGGATAGGAAAGCACAAGGTTATCGCATGGTGAGCCTGGCCAAGACCCTGAGTGACTCGGGGTTGAGCCCTGGGACATGACCCACAGCGTGACCCTGGGAGCTGTCACGCTGTGGGATCCACATAAGCCAACAAATGAAATCCCCATCCTGCAGGCCTCCAGGGGAGGGGGTGGCTGCTGGCAGGTCCCCAACTGCCCCATGCTCGTGCCTGGAGGATATACACTGCTTTCCTTTGGGATAGGGTCAGCTGTGGCCACAGCTGAGGGCACCCAAAGGGGGCAGGCAGAGAACTGCTGTCCCCCCGGTCATGAGTGAAAGCTGGTGAGAACAGGGAGGAAGCCAAACACATGTCACCTTCTAGCTCTGAGGGCATCTAGGCAGGGAGGTTTTGGTGCAGATGTGAACACATATATGGACTCGTATGAACCTTTATATAAATTTATTACGTCCTTGTGATGAAATACAGTTCACCGAGCACACTGGCATGTCCAGACAGGGCTTCCTCAGACAGCTTTCCACTGACTTTAAGGGTGAAGATGGAAGGGAGACAGAAGGAGGGCATCAAGCCTTCTGCAACATCTCCCTTCCTCTCCCCTCCATCCCCTCTTTCAACCCATATTCCCTTTCTCCATTCCTTGCTGCTCCATGTTCACATGGTGCAACTCCCTAGAGCCCTGTATCAGCCCCAGGATTGTGGTGTCTGCAGCAACTGAGGCGTGATTGTGAGTAACTGATGCAGGCACACGTTAACGGTGGGAGGATGTCACAGTTGTACGGACACTGACGAGCTCTCCTACGGGAAGCTGCCCAATGTGTTGGGAAAGAGTGTGCTGCAAGCTGGCAAATGCTGATGAACACAGCTATTTTTGTGTGGGCATGAGAGCCATGACATCTCGCAGCCTGGTCCTGCCTGGGGACCAGATGGGAAGCAGCAGCTGAGGAGTTTCTGTGTACAACAAGCCCTGGGCTGGCAGTCCCGGATGCTGATGCGGAGTGGGTGCTGTTGGTGCTCATGCCTCCCACAGCGTAGCTCCCTCCAGCATCCTGCTGGGCTTGCAAATGAGGCAAAGTCCCCTGCGACGAGCTCCTGCAGCTCTTGGCGCTTGTCTGCTGACAACCCTGAGCAGGGCTGAGCCCAGCAAACCGTGACACTGTCGGGCATGAGCATGGGAGCTGCTTGACCCAGGATATACCTGCAGGTTTTTGTGGGGAGCCCCTCTGGTGGGCAGCCGAGGTCACTGCCACAATGCCCCAGTCCACACGAAAAAGTGCCCAGGACCACATGTGGCAGCTCCACCAGCTGCGGTGTGAGCCTGCACCCAGCCATGCTTTCAGGGCTTGTCCAAGCTGGGGCTGCGCTGGAGACAGGTTACGCTCAGCAAGACTCGAGCTGCGCTGCTCTGTGCCATGCTGCCTGTCACCTCCTCTGCTGGTGCCGGGTCCTCTCCTTCTCAGTCTTCTCATTCAAGAGCCCTTTATCCATCTGTGCACAGGAGCAGCCTAAATCTGACCAACTCACAAACCTGGCCCTGTTTGCAGCCCCCTCTTGCCTGCTCCGTGGCTTGTACCGGTTTGTCTCTGGGGGCCAGGGGCCTGTCTCAGTGCTCTGCTCACTTCCCTGGGCAACTGGTCTCTCACAGGTGACTCCCAGGCTTGCTTATGCATCAGGGCGTGCAGAGATGAGCAACCTCCACTGGGACCTGCTTGTGAGAGATGACTCGTAACCCCCAGAAACAGCACCTGAGAGAAACAGGCCTGCAAGAAAAAACAGCCTGAGAGAGATAAGGGATGGGGGGTAGCAGAGGTCCTCTGAGCTGAGGAGTGTCTCAAACACTCACAAGCAGCAAAACTTTAGTCACAGGGTGGATAGTGCGGAGTTTGGAGCTGACAAGGCTGCCTGGACAGCACAGGATGGGCTGGAGGAGGAAGCCCTGTGAAGGCAGGACAGTTCTACTCTGGGGCATCTTATAAAGTTTCAAGGGCCATCTGCCTGGTGAATGACTTTTGCCTCATTAGCTGTGAAATGCATATTAAAGTTGACACCCCTGCATGTGTTGATAAAGATTAACAAGATCACGCTAATTACATCATCCTGTGCAGCATTACCCCTCCCCATGCAGGGGATACAGAGGTATGGGGATTGACCTAAGGTACCGACCCAAAGGAAGTGTGTATAAACGAGGGAGGAGTGAGGAGTGAAATATAGAAAGAGAAAAGAAGACGTGAAGAAGATGGATGCATCCCTGACAAACTCAGATGGGACCAATGCAGGAACCCAAACTGGTGATCCCTATTTCTCTGTTCTCTCTCTTTTTCCCCTTTTCCCTCACTACCATTAAGAAATCACTTGCCATAACTCATTATATACTTAGCCAGTTATCATGTGTCCAGTGAGTACATTGTGGGAAATGAATGAACTTTGAGACTTGTCTCACCTTGTCCACTCTGTTGGGGATTTACGAATCTAAGTCACTCGTCTCCCTTGTCTGAGTGGGACATGACACCACTGCCTCCTTCCAAAGGCAAGGCCTGGGTCTCCTCTCTTTCTGCCACATGGTCCCTCACCTTTGATGGTGAGTGCTCACCCGAATGTTTGTCACTACTGCGGTCATGTGCTCCACCAGTCCACCTTGCCCGGGGCCAGCAGCTTCTCTGCCTCAACCTCCTTCTTCCTGCTGGCGGCTCTGCAGACATGCACCGTAGGCGTAGGGTGAGAAAGGAGGTGGGCTGTGTGGTAATGTCGTCCTTTCTTTTTTCCCAAATTAGCATGACTACAGTCATTATCATCCTGGCTGCGGTGATCGCCCTGATCATTGGTTTTGGTGTCTCAGGTATGTGAATGCTCAGATTTCTCCATTAGCAGCAGGGTGATGAACTTCTGCCCTCCTGCTATCTCCATGTCTCCATCCTGTGCATGGGCTGAGGTGTGATCTTGCGTGGATGTGCCACCTACAACCGTGATGAAGGCTCACTTTATAATGCTTATGTGCCAGATGGCTGAATTAAGACTGCAGAGGTGACTTTAGTTCTGGCCTTTCTCAACAAGGTATCACTCCTTGGCATTAAAATACAAGGAGCTGTGCTCTCCTTGGAGAATGGGAACTCTTATAGATCATTTACACACACACACACACACACACACGATCTGGTGGAGTTGAGAACAGTCAGTGTGAGGTTAATGATCTTCAAGGTCTTTTCCAACCTTGATGATTATGTGATTCTGTGAAATTTCCTTGGGATTATATACAGAAAATCCTGAACATACCATGCACCTTCTCCCAGGTGGGAGAAGACAATGGTATTTATTGAGAAGTCGGGCAGCATCTACCAGGATGGGGCATGTTCCCCTGCTGCCTCAGAGATGACAAGAATGTGTTGCTCTGGTGTTGGCCGAAATGCAGCTTTCTTGGTGCACACAGAGTGAAGACACGTAGGGAAGGGCTGTACAGGAAAGAGGACCTGGCTCCACAAAAGAGCTAATTCTCAAGCTTGCTCATTAGGATTTGTCTTGAGAAGTGATCTGTGTCTCCAGGGAAGGTAAATGCTGACTTTTAAATGAAAGAAAACAGTTTGGGTTCCAGTGAGGCTGAAAGAGCAACCTATTATTTCTCTGCCAGCATGATGCCTTGCAGTCACATTTATATTGCATGAAGGAAATCCTGACTAAGAAAAGACATAAAAATCATGCTCTTGTGGCAGCTGCAAAGTGAAAAATCCCTGATAAGCAAGAAAACACCAAGAAAATTCTTCTCAAACAAGTAAGAGAGGCTACTTTTTGAAGCGTGTTGCCTGCTAAGGCAATGCTCCTGTGCTTTATCTTGGTGTATAAGCCATAGAGCTCTGCTAGCAGTACTGGTAGCTGCTACTGGTGCCCTTGTGGTGTGCTGGTGCCCATTTAACCTCGGGGCTGATGTCTGACAGCCACAGAGTGATCCGACCTTTCTCCATGCTCGCTGCCTTGCCTTTCTCATGCTGGATTTCTTTCTCCTTGCAGGAAAACGCTCCATCAGTGTGACAGCACTGACGTCTCTGGGCAACATCGGCCAGCGCAGCGTCCTGGGCTGCACTTTTGAGCCTGACATCCGGATGGGCAGCATAGCCATCCGGTGGGCCAAGGCAGGAGTAGCCGGGCTGGTTCACGAGTTTAAAGGGGGGAAGGACCATCTGCAAGAGCAAGACGTGTTGTTTCGGGGCCGCACGGCAGTGTTTGCAGAGCAGGTGATTGGCGGCAATGCTTCCCTGGAGCTGAGGGATGTGCAGCTCTCTGACGCTGGCACCTACCAGTGCTCCGTCACCACGGCCAGAGGGAGCGGAGTGGCAGTGCTGCAGTACAGGACGGGAGGTGAGGAGTATGAGAAAGAAAATCCTGCTGCAAAACACAGACTAACGTGGCTTCTATCAGCAAAAGCGTGGCCAGCAGTGACAGGGAAAGGATCTGACCCCTGTACTCGGCACTGCTGAGGCTGCACCTCAATTCCTGGGTTCAGTTTTGGGCCCCTCACCCCAAAAAGGCCATTGAATGACTCAAGCGTGTCCAGAGAAGGGCAACGGAGCTGGTGCAGGGTCTGGAGCACAGGTCTGATGGGGAGCGGCTGAGGGAACTGGGGGGGTTTAGTCTGGAGAAGAGGAGGCTGAGGGGAGACCTCATGGCCCTCTACAGCTCCCTGAAAGGAGGGTGCAGAGAGGGGGGATGAGTCTCTTGAGCCAAGGAACCAGCACCAGGCCAAGAGAGAATGGCCTCAAGCTGTGCCAGGGCAGGGTCAGACTCGCTCTGAGGAAGTATTTCTTTGCAGAAGGGGTTGTTGGGCTTTGGAATGGGCTGCCCAGGGCAGGGGGGGAGTCCCCATCCCTGGAGGGGTTGAAGAGTCAGGTCAACATAGCGCTGAGGGATCTGGTGGAGTTGGGAACTGTCAGTGCTAGGTTAACGGTTGGACTGGATGATCTTCAAGGTTTCCAACCTAGTTGATTCTGTGGCTTGGTCAGACTTGCCCATGGTTACGCTGATGCTAGAGCCTGTGTGAGCAGCACCAGATCCTCCAGCAGCCACCATCAGGCCTTGAACCCCTGAGTAGCACTGGGGTTGTTTATTTTTACTTCTCCAAAGGAGTTTATGGCCTTACCCACTCTTTCCACATCCTTCTGCTGGAAAAGATTATTATTTTAATGCTCTCAGTTGTCTTTTTTTTTCCTACTTGCCACATGTACTCTACCAGCTACTTAATGGACAACAAAGAGCCCCGAAGAATGGGAGTAGCTAACTGATGTTATAAAGATGCAGATTTTATACCTGTTAAAGATAAAAAGATAGCTTTTTCTCTCTAGATTTAAAATATACCTCCAGCCAGGAGATGCGCTGCATAGTAAAAATTGTAGCCTATTTAGTATTTTTTTCCATTTTACTAATGTTTTTGGTTTTTAAAAAATGATCAGCAAAGCACCAAACTGCCCATATCATCGTTATCTGAAGTATTACATATTTGCTGAATTCTTCACCTTGTTGTGAGTCAACTTCAAAAGACACAGACACAGATGAATTTTCACTTGCGGGAGGTTAATTCTTCTGAGCTCTCTGGGCGTGCTTATCGCGTTCACTACTGGCACAAAGCAATATGCTCCCACTGAACTCAGCAGAATTTCACGTTTCTGTCACCTCTGGGTCTTTCTAATGAAACTGTGGTGAGTTACACTGACTGTACAATGGGGATAACATGAGACTGCACAGGTATGTAGTCTTATTGTTTCTCTGGCTGGCTTTTGCTGGCATCCCTGAGGTCGCAGCACATCTCTTTATCCCAACAGCTCAAGCTGGGAGAGGAAAAACTGTCAGAAAAACTCTCCAAGTCAAGGAAATGCAGTTTTAGGATGGGTGACTGCTTCTGTGGTGAGGCCAGCTACGTGGAGGCATCCTCTGTGCTTCAGGCCAGACATGGCAGGACAGTAATAACCAGCAGAGCTCTTGAATGAGACAGGTTGCCTTTCTGCAGGTCCAGTCTCCTCCTTTGGCCCAGCAGAGCCAAAGCACCATGGGGTGGGCACCAGCTTCTGTGCATAAGCTTGTGACAGATGTCTTGGAGATGCAGCCACGTCTCAGTGTCACTTACAGGGACAGAAAGGCAATATTAAAGTTGGTGTCGCAGGAATGTCTGGCCAGTGTTGTTTCACAGACTCCCATTTCTTACTGAAACCATGTTTTCTGCCCTGTTGCTATCCAAAGTCCTTTCCCAAGCAGTGAAAAAAAGGCTGCTGGGCTCACAGGCCCCTTATCTTGCAGTGACAGGATGGAAGAACTGCTTGGGACTACAGTAGGCAGCAGCGAGCCTGTCTGAGGTGTGCTTAAGTCCCGTGGGGATTCTGTCTCCTACCCCTCCTTGAAACCTTGTGAATCTGGCTGCTTTTATATTGCTTGATTCAATGTTTAAAATGATCCACACAGAAAAGGCATTAGAGTGAACACATGAAATGTTACATTAGCTTTTATTACCTTTGAAATCGGTGAACTCTGCTCACCTAAAAAGCTCGTTTCTCTTCACATATGTACGTGTGGGAAATTCGATGAATATACAGAGACCAAGGCTAACAAAGTTTTATTTGAGGTGGTCTTGGCTTTAAAACACAGCTGAGTTTTCAACCGGCTTTAAACTTTTTGCTTAATGCAGGGATATTGGCATAAAACCTGCAGCTCAGCCCATACCTTAGTCTGCCCCCAGCTTGGCTGCAGCCCCATTTAATGTCAGAGTCACATCACGAAGCCGTAGATGTTGGTCAGGCTCCCTTCTCAGTCAGTGGAGAGGATAATTCATCTTCCCCTTCCCCCAGCCTCTGGTAACTACAAGCATTTTTGGCACATCTCTCCCTGCTGATAACAGCAGGTGCCTCCTTTCAGCCGCCCCCCTTCAGCAGAGGTGAGTGGGGCTGTGCCGGCTGCAGCTCCTGCCCGGACAAACTGGGCATGTGGTGGACATGGGCAGTCTCTGGCCAGCCAGGTCCTGAGTCCAGTCTCTGCTGGGAGCCTGGACAGCCAGGAGCTCTTGGAAAAAGGCCTAGTTTATAAGCCCAATACCCAGCTTGTAACTCTTAAGCAGAATCACTTAGACACTAAAGCTGTGCCATGACCTCAGCAGATCTTGTTGAACTTGCCATAGGAGTCTTTAGATCCCCTGTAGCCCAACCAGTACTGAGCCTGTGTTTGGTTGGACAACACATGGTGCTGCACTGCCAAGCAGCAAGTTCCCCACAAATACCTGGGGCTGACCGGCAGATGCAGTTGGGTGTTTTCATGCCTGGTTCCCAAACATTTGCCTTTCCCCGACTCTCCCTGTTTTTCCCTCCCAAAGCCTTCAGCACCCCCAGGGTCCGCGTGGAGAAAGGCAGCCGCAGGGACATGTTGCAGTGCGAAGCGCCGCGCTGGTTCCCCCGGCCTGCCGTGCGCTGGACAGCCTACAGCGACGCCGGGGAGTGCCTCCCTCACGTTGCCAACACCAGCTACGAGCTGAACGCTGAAAACATCACTCTGAAAGTGGTTTCCTTTCTCCACAACGTTACTGCTAATGCCACCTACACCTGCGTGATTGAAAACAGCATTGCCAAGGCTACAGGCAACATCAAAGTGACAGGTACAGTTTAACACCACCCAGAGACTACAGGCATGGGGGAGGTTAAACGCTGCACCTCTGTGCATCAGAGGGTTCCTGCAGCACTGCCTGCCCCGCGTGAGCCATTTCAGTCAAGGAAGGGACTGAAATCCATGGTTAATCCAGGCCTCTCCGTTCCTGGGAAGAAGGAAAGGGTCTGTGTTTGGCCCTGCTATTTCAAATGGTTTTTTATGGTAACAATTGCTCCCTTGGCACAGGGACAGAACTGCTAGGGAACGGAAGGAAGGACACACTTCAGAAGAATGTATTTCTTCAAACGTTAACCAAAAGCAAACCAACCAACCCATAACCCCAACTTTTGACACTTTCTTCAGCCAGCTCAGCTTAGATCCATTTTGTGTGCCAAACCAGCAAGACCCTTTAGCTCTTACTAATGGCAGTCGCTCTGACTCCAGCCCACCCACTTTATTTGAAAGACTGCCTTATTCACAGGAAAGCAAACCTTCCAAAAAGCCTGGATATCTTCTCCTGTTCTACATGAGAAGGGTTATAGCTCTTCTACAGCAAGGGCTTCACAGCAGGGGGTCTCCAGCACAAGAGACAGGGTCATCAATATTCAGAAAAATGGGGAGGAATAAATATATAAACTCATTTTGCCTTCCCTGATGCGTTACCCATCCTGGTAGCCTCTCACTCTTCTTCTGCTACAGATTTCAGCATTACAAGGGGGACCAACTTGCAGCTGGTGAACCTGAATGCAGAGTCTGTGTCCTCCTCCCTTCCAGCCTGTCACTGGATGCTTCTGCTTCCCCTGTACCTGCTGTCAATATAAACACTCTATAAAACAATCAGAAACACTCTGGACCTGCAGGTAAGCTTGGAAAGGGAAACTCAGAAGCATGTATGCTCAGTGTAAGCATATGTAGACCCTCTTGCTGAGTGTGGTTACAGATGACCTCTCAATCCTACCAGAATGGGAGGACATCTTTCCCCTGTGCCCATCTGTTATGACCCAGACTGGGAGCCCAGAGAGTTGTAAAGGTTCTGTGATCCCCTCGGTTTGAATTAAGGTGAAATGACATCACATGACCAGTTAAAATGTTTTACTTGCAATAGAAACAACTTAAACTAAGAAAAGAATAGTAAGCAATGTGGTCTCTTGATGATAAATCAAGAAGAAAGAAAAGAAAGTAAAGAAAAAGAGGGAGGCAGTTAAAAAAAAGAATAATAAAAAATTCGAGATTACCAGAACTGAGACAACGCTGGAACCTGGGGTGGTAATCTTAGGTGGTAGGTGAGCACACGGTAAAGTTTTCTGTGGCCTTTTAAGTTCATCTTATTGTCTGATTTGCAGACTAGAAGCAGGTTTTCCATGAACTCATTATCATTAAGGATGAAGAAAGGTGGAGCATGGGTTCTGTGCATGAGCTAAGGTGGGGTGTGTGTATGCATTAACCCTTTCATCCAATTGAGTCAGTGGTCACGATCTCCCCCTGCCACCCTTACTTTTCCCCCAGTTACCACCAGTTTTTGCTACCTTCATGCTTCTCAGGCAACCATTCAGCCTTTTGGGTCCTTCTGGGGCAGATGTTTTGTTCTTATCAGGCTTTTAGCTCCTCTTCAAGGGCAGGTTGCTAGCAAGGCCTGCCTGCATTGTTCATACAAAGTGTCAGGCTTACATAACAGAGCCAATGTGCTTGATGAGGAACACTTGTACGGGCTACAAGGCTTCAACTCCTACCACTGGTAATACATGGGAGTGGGGACATGCATCCTTCAATACACTCCACACTTCCTTGGGTGACATTCCTTAGACTAATCCAAAGGCCACAGCTTGTCCTTGAGGTTTTCTGTGTCGATGAATGTTTGAGGCATTTCTTCCTTCAGTTCTTTACACCATCCTTTCCCCATCCCCAGCTTTAGGTCCCTCCCACAGGCTCTCTGATGGCTTCTCCTATCACTTTCTGCAAGAGATTCTTCTCTCACAGGACCAATTGTTGTCTCTTACTTGTCCCCTCATTCTCTTTTCCTTCCCTTCTCAAGCTTCTCTCTGGCCCAAAAGACTGATGTCTGGCTTACTGCTCTGTGTACCCTCTGAAGCCTGGCTACACTTCATGGCTGCAAGGACTTTCTCCTCTCCTTCTTCCCGAGGTCTGCTGCAGTACAAGCCTTGCTTGCACCCGCTTTACCCAAACTCCGCTGCACGGGGCATTAACTTCAATAAATAGTACCTACTACAGACACCTCCAACAGGGCTAGAGGAAGCTGAGCAACCCTACCTAGACCTGGAATAAGGCAGACTGTAGACAAAGACAGGTCAACCGCCTTTAGTATTCATTTGCTTCAGCATGGGGTGGCAGGCTCTAGAGGTAAACTGGTGATGAACTACAGAAAATCAGCTAAAAGGAACATCTCTGTCTTTCCACACAGAACAGTTACTACAGCTACCCTGACAGCAGGGCATGCTTCATGCTTTCCTCCCTCTCGGGTTGAGAACTTCAAGAGCTCCTCCCACTTCCAGAGCATGTAGTAGTAGCACAAACATGAAGCCAGCTGATTTGTCTTGTATTACTATTTCTTATCCTTGCCAACAACAGGATACTTTGCTTGGCTTCAGAAAGAGCACAAGGAATGTGATAAGGAGAGTTGCATAAATAAAGGAAAAAGTATGATGATCACAGGAAGAAGATGTGTTCTCTCTTTGAAGTAACCCAGTGACGAGAACTCTGATCATAGGCGGCTCAGAGACAAACTGGAAGAGGGTTTCCTGCAATACTTGTGAGAACTGATCCTTCAAACTCAGAGTTCTAAAAGTAAACATACCTTAATTCCCCCTGAAGAGACTGATTTGTCTATCTCGTTGTCTTATGATTCTCTGAATGCACTAATAAAACTGTAAATAAGACAGCCAGTTAAAATATTCAGTCTTCTCAGAAGACTATAGTCAAACTCCCCTTCTGAAAAAGACATTGTGAATAGCAAAACATTGATGGATTAAATAGCCAACAGGCTTGGAATAAGTGTTAGGTCTTCAAACAGCCTGTATGAGGTCCGAGGATTGCATTTGTAATGTGAAATTAAAGAGTAAAATTAAAAAAAGTAAATAAAATGCTGAGTAATAAGTGTGGCAGCAGACAGAAGAATAACATGCATAATGAGGAGGAAAAGAGGAAGACTAGTAAGATACTACTGGAAAGTTCAAATTCAAAAGTAAAAACGTCATTAAACATAGTTACAAGAGAGACAAATTTGCCTTTTTTGTTTTTAAGTAAGTCTCTGTTATCTGGCACTTCCTATCTATTTCTGTCTGTTACTATGTTATTGATATTACAGGACTACTTTCAGTTGCACTTTTAAATCAGATTTTGATCTTTTACATCAGTTACAGTCAACGTTTTCCTCAGGCTGAAAGGGGTTTTTTTTGTTTGCTTTTTTTGGTTTTGTTTTGTTTTCTTGGGGGAGGGCAGAGGACAAGCTTCAGCAAAATTGTTACCATTTCACAGAAAGCTCCCACAGAAAAAAAGACTCTCACAGCAAATCTTGTGTAGACCTTTGCCTTAAGCTGCTTTGACAGCTTTCTTAAGGATGGAGTGTCAGAACTTTCTTGAATGGTGGCATCTGTCAGGTCTTGTGCCTCTCATGCTTTGGTCTCAGAAGCAGCCATCAGGCCTTGAGGGGAGATACTTGACACATGCTCAATAAAGCCACTACCTGAAGTTTAAAATAAGGCTCAAGCTGAGAGTGAAAGGGGAAAGGCAGAGGGACAAAAAAACCCCAGAACAGTAGCTGTTCAAATATGCTCTCTGCACATGGAAGAAGGAGGGGAAGTAATTGTGTATGGAATTTACTAGTCTACAAGATGAAGGATCTGGATCTTATTTTGCCAAAATCAAGTGCAGAACACTCAGTCATCACAGCAAGTGGATGGGAGAGGAACCACTTCAAATGGTGACCTCCCACGTGTTGCACTGGTTAGTCTGCTGTGCCACTGTGGCTACTGGCATGTGGCCTTGCAGCCATCCCCTTCCTGATCAGGAACAGACAGGCAAGCCTGTAACATGTGAATTTCACAGAATCATCTCAGTTGGAAAAGACCTTGAAGATCCTCCAGTCCAACCATGAACCTCACACTGACTGTTCCCAACTCCACCAGATCCCTCAGCGCTGGGTCAACCCAACTCTTCAACCCCTCCAGGGATGGGGACTCCCCCCCTGCCCTGGGCAGCCCATTCCAACGCCCAACAGCCCCTTCTGCAAAGAAATACTTCCGAAGAGCCAGTCTGACCCTGCCCTGGCACAGCTTGAGGCCATTCCCTCTTGTCCTGGTGCTTGTTACTTGCTTAAAGAGACTCATCCCCATCGCTCTGCACCCTCCTTTCAAGGAGTTGTAGAGGGCGATGAGGTCTCCCCTCAGCCTCCTCCAGACTAAACTCCCCCAGTTCCCTCAGCTCCTCATAAGACCTGTGCTCCAGATATATTTTTTTTTTTTCTGGTACCACAGCTCACTGCCTTCCTCTTGTTACCAGCCCCATGTAATTTTCAGGCTGCTGTTTAAGCTGCAAGATAATGCCCATATAGTCCTGTGATTTAGTATCATGATTTAGTTTCCAAACAGTAACTTACTTCCCTTCTCTTCTTGGAGGAAGGAAATGCTTTAAAAACATTTTAATAATTTCAGTCGGGTTAAGAAGCCTGTCCCTTGTGGCAACTGTACATTTTTGCATGAAGACAGTGAATGATCTGCAAAATGCCTGGCTCTGGTTCATACACTGAGGATCTACGTTCTGCCTCATTTCCCCAATATAGAAAGAAATCTCTAATACTAAAATATATACGGTGTTATTTAAACTGTATTTTAACAACTTTATTTAGTAGATACTACTACATGAAATACACACATGTGTATGCCCTAGGCCCAAAGCAACTTCTATCATGTAGGAAATATGGAACATCTCTCTTCCAAAACACAGCACAGTATGGCTGGTGGCAACGGTCCAAAATGACCAGTCAAGAATTCCACGAGTTGCAGCAGCTTCTTCACTGTACCTTTCACCCTGTGCTCACAGGTCTGTCCTCCCACAGGAAAGGAGTAAAAAAAACCTCCCAATCCCAGTAGGTATTTCCATAATTCCTCTCCCACTGGGAGAGCTGTTAAGCAGTGGCTCCCACCTGGCAGTGACTAGATGTTTTCCTAATCCTCTTGCTGTTCAGATAGCTTAAGGTGCCTTGCTCAACCTCCTCCACATTCAGGCACAGCAGGCTCGGTCGAGGTCCCACTTGCGACACAAACTCCACTTCACCGCTCCGAAAGTTTCTCAGCTGCAGCGAAGCTGAAAGGGAAAGGCACAACTTGGAACAACTCAGTACAAGGCTCCATTCTAGCCCACAGCTGTAGAAGTTGCTGGGGGAGGGAAGGCCTTGTAGCAGCTGCTTGGCATCTACTAAACCCCAAAGGACAACATGATTCATGAATCCAGGATGTAAGCAGATGAATGCATTAGGCCAGAATCCCTCCAACTTGGAGGAAACAGATATTCTACACTGTGAAATGCTGTAAACTATGCGCTGCTCACACAGCTGATTCACCCAGCTTTTTATCTTCTATCAGCAACCCGGCCTCACAGACAGGGTTACATGATGGCTGAAAAATAATGTGTCCACAGCAGAGCATCCTCCGGTGAGCTCAGCATATCCACCCCTGCAGCACCTGGATGCATACTCAAGTGCTAGTGTTAGCGCAAGCAGCTAAATAATTTTCCCCTAACACAGCTGCTGCACAGCTGTGGCAGCAGGAGCTCAGACATCCATGAATTCAAAACTCTTTAGTGCTTTAAATTTTGTGGCCATGGGGACAATTTCCAGGCCTAGTCTCGACTCTACCTGCTGTCCCACCTAAAGCTAAAGCCCACTTGATTCGAGAGGTTCGCACAATAAATAACTCTGGCTGGCCAGAATCTCACCCCCATCCAACAACTGGGAACCTTGCTCTAAAACAGCTCTATGCTTCTGTGTAAAGTAGAAAAATTCATATAGAGTACTGTTGTAGATAGTGACTTTTATAATATTATTTCTTTATTTGTGTAACCATGGTTCTGCTAAGACACACCTTAGCTCTATCGTACAGAATTCACAATACCGTAGAAATTCTCCAAAGATCTTGCTTTGTGGGCAGTGAGGGCAGCTCTCCTTCCCCAGCCTGATGAGATGGTTCCTCCCTTCCTTCCCACACTAAATATTACAAAAACCAACAGTGGTTGCTTACCAGGCTGCAGGATCTTGGAGGGCTTCCTGTTGAGGCTGAAATCCAGCAGGATAGGGCGACAGATGAGAGGACTCCTGCACAGGTTCCTTAGGTAGCAAGCAATGAGATCCTCAGGTTCCTCTACACACTGAGGAAGGAAAGGGTGTGTTGCCAGGCAGGGAGTCACTGGAACACCCACAGCCAAGGGAAATCCAGTCCAGCTGAGCCTCCAGCCCAGCACGCTGCAGTTGCTGCCAGAATAGCCCACTCACCCCCGTGCCAGTAGCTTCCCCGTGCTGAATGGACACACTGCCCCTGCTCTGCACACAGTTCTGCAGAGCTTCCCAATCAAGCAGGCTCAGACCCAGAATTGCTCCCACGTGCTGGTTCTTGCACAGCACCAAAGCTTCACCTGTTCCGTCCTCCACCAGCACCCTGTGGAGAGAGCAGGCAGAATGAGATGTGGAGAGAGGTCAGGACCATGCCCGGCTCCCTCACAGGGCTCGTGTCCCACACAGTGGATCTTATTAAAGAGAGAGGGAGGTTTCATAGAATCACAGAATCATTTTGGTTGGAAAAGACCTTGAAGATCATCCAGTCCAACCATTAACTTCACACTGACTGTTCCCAACTCCACCAGATCCCTGTGCTATGCTGACCCGACTCTTCAACCCCTCCAGGGATGGGGACTCCCCCCCTGCCCTGGGCAGCCCATTCCAACGCCCAACAACCCCTTCTGCAAAGAAATACTTCCTAAGAGCCAGTCTGACCCTGCCCTGGCACAGCTTGAGGCCATTCCCTCTTGTCCTGGTGCTCGTTCCTTGGTTCAAGAGACTCATCCCCCCTCTCTGCACCCTCCTTTCAGGTAGCTGTAGAGGGCCAGGAGGTCTCCCCTCAGCCTCCTCTTCTCCAGACTAAACCCCCCCAGTTCCCTCAGCCGCTCCCCATCAGACCTGTGCTCCAGACCCTGCACCAGCTCCGTTGCCCTTCTCTGTACATGCTCGAGTCATTCAATGGCCTTTTTGGAGTGAGGGCTCAAAACTGAACACAGGAATTGAGGTGCAGCCTCAGCAGTGCCGAGTACAGGGGTCAGATCCCTTCTCTGTCCCTGCTGGCCACGCTATTGCTGACACAAGCCAGGATGCCATTGGCCTTCTTGGCCACCTGGGCACACTGCTGGCTTCTGTTCAGTTTGTTCACATCTGGGAAGACATGACAGCTCTAACTTCTGTATTTGCTATTGTGTCCCCAGCCCATCCTTGATGGGATTTTTCCCCTCCCCTCTGTGGTGTAATTTGTTCCCTCCTACCCATCAACTCCCACACCCAATCCCTCCAGCGCTTACCATGCACTGGCTTGCCTCACGCCTGTGTGTGATGGACATGGTGGACTGTGTCGGGTGCACTTCCCCTGAAGGAAGAGTAAAGCTATAGCTAAGTATGGGCAGGTGTAAGAGAAGGGGAAGGGCCACTGCTTCTGTTAACCCTCCCCTAATTAAATATGCAAAGGATTAAAGAACTTCATTGCCTTTGCAATGAGTGTCTTGGGAAAAGTTGGTATGGGGAGAAAAAACACCCGCTGCAAGGTGCTGAACCCCAACAGCAGTGAACACGGGAAAAGGAGAGCATTAACAGAGTAGGAGTCTCCCCTTCAGTGTCCTCACTCCACCCCCAGTCCCAGCCACCAGCCTGCCTGGTATCAGACATACATCTAATCAGTTGTCACTCTGGTCCCTTTCTAATATGCAAATCCTTTTCAGACACTGGAAAAAGAGATTTTGGAATCGGGGTAGGAACTCTTATTTTTTCTACATGGTAGCAAAGGATGAGTCAGAGTAGAAAATCTTCAAGGCTTCTCACAAATTCTCTCTGAGAGAGCTTGAATACCTCTTTGAAGGTGCTGCTGCAAAGCGAGCAAACCCACTGCAGGGACAGAGTCCGTACACAGGACAAGTGGCATAAAATCCGTGCCTGGGGCAGATTTTGCAGGTGAGGTTGCAGGCTGGATAGAAACACGAGTGAGGGGGATGAGGCTTCTCCTGCAGGACTAGAAGAAACAGGAATGTGAGAAGCTTGGAACACAGAAACCTTTCTCGGGACACTATTAAGGTGAGAACAGAACCTGAGCTCACCTGGAAGGAAGAGGTAGGTGAGAAGCTGGCAGAGATATGATGCTCACACAGCTGGAGGCAATGTATGTGCAATAAACATTATGGAATCTGCAATATGAGAGAGTAGATGTCAGAAAGAGTTTGTAGAAACCAAACTGCTCAGTTTTCCTGGGATGACTGGGCTGATCTTCATCTGTAACATGGTAGGAAAATAATCTGTAGCAAGTGATTAAGAGACACAAAGGTATGGACAAGGGATGAGGAAAGGCCACATGAGAAGAGACATTAAGAGACAGTTTCAAAGACAGTAAGAGAGGTCAGAGCTGTGGCCTAGATCAGGGCTCTAAAGACAGGGGTACCTTGAGATTTTACGTTCCAAGTTCTGGAAGAGGATCTTGGCTCCAGGTAGCAAACCCCAGAGATGCTGCAGGTAGGTGGCAGCAATGTAAATGTCCATCACAACACCGGAGTCTGGAGCAGCCGAGACGCTGAGCTTGAGGCTGTGATCAGTGGCTAGCAGACTCCCTGAGGAGGCACACACACACCATCAGCTCACACAGAGGTAGCACTGTGTCACCGAGCTAGAGGTGTTTTCCCTCCCATCACTATGAGGCTATCACTCTTCCACTTCACACATCTTCCAGGTAGACTGTTCCCAATTCCCATCCCCAACACACATGCAGTGTACAGTTTCCCAGCCCTCTGACGTGCAACAGGATGCCACATCCTGGCACGTTTCCACTATTCTCAGATACAGGAGCACAATTAGCCAAGTGACCTGTTCAGACCTCTCTGAA